CGTTCGCTTGTCACAGGATAACTGTGGCTGTTGGTTATTCCCTGCGAAAACTCAGGATGAGGAAAAAAATGTGGAACATCCAATGTATGGTCAGCAAAGCCTTTCCTGCAGTCACAGATTTTGATGTATTAGGAGAGGGGTAGGTGGCCCAGTGTTATTTTTGCTGCAACTGAGAAATGATCACGGGTCATTCTAGAAGACCTGTAAATCTTAACTGGCAAAGGAAATGAAGAATAACTTTCACTAGCATTTTGAAATCCTAGTGGAGATCTTCAAAAGGTCATTAGTAGAACTAGTGACTACAAGGAGGTAGAAGTATGTTCATGCAGAATGGCTAAAATGAGTTCTTATTATCAGTTTCATTTGCATTCGAAAACTTTCTAAGCAAGGAATCCAGAAGAGCATTAGACTAAAACTGAGTTAATCATACCACTTCAGCTGAGGTACCAGCATAAGCGGTTTCTGTCCGCGCAAAGCCCCTCTGTTATGCCACAGCTGTTTATCCCATGAACTCCACAGTAAGAGTGCTCCAAATGAAAAATAACCATTTTAGGGTTTTAACTGGATTTGTAGTCGCTGTCATTGGCCCCACAACAGTGCGCATGGGGTAGAAGAAAGAGTAAAGCCTAAGTCCAGTGCAGAACCACAGCTGCAATCTAGTATTAGATGCTGACCTGTAGGATGCTCCAAAGCAATCTTGTTTCTGGGGTTTGTTTCTTGCTGTGCAAGAGGGGCAGAGTCAGCCCCAGTTTCTACAGGGGCAGGTTTGAAAAATGAAATCTATATGGACTCATTTGACTGCCCTATGGTGAACATCAGATGTCTCCTCATCAATTTTGTGCAACCTGACTCAGTTCTGGTTTAGAGATGATGGTTGCGGGTGAAGGCAGTATGAGCTAAATGAATTTTTTGAAAACCTAAGTGATAATTTTAAATAAGGTGTCTTCTGTCGAAGGTGCTACTGAGGGCTTCCTTCCTTACTTCCTTTAATAGCAGCTGTTTTCCAAAGCCTTTAATCTTGATGTGATAGGAGCGTTTGGAGGCTTGCATTAATCGGATTATGAAACTCTTGGAATTACTGTAAGAACACTTGTGGGTTTATAGATTGGTAATGTCTCACAAACATGCTAAAACTTGATTTAATGAATCTTGTAGGATGACTGTCACTCATTGTTTCTGCTTCCTGCTGTAGCATTTGGGGCTTTACTAGTGGACTACTGGACTGTTAATAAGGCTTTTTTTCATTTCAAGAGAACCAAAACTTGGAGAAAGCTCTGTGGATGAGTAAGCCGCAAGCTCTTGTAACTGTAATTTGGTAATGAACCAGATAGACTTTTCACAATAAAACATGTGGAAGTGGCTCTTCCCATCAAAGTGAGTGATTTTTAACAACATAAGTTCTTATTTCTTTCAGTATTTTGATCTGAAATGACTTGGAAAAACCCACAGCCAGCAGTTGATCTAGATTCTGTGTTCTGAATGGAAAGTAAAATGGCTTTATCAATATAATGCAAGTATCGCCTTGCTGTGTAAAGTGGAGGAGGCTGAAATCTTTCTACCACACCACCAAAGTTTTGCACGTTTCTAAAGTAGCTGATTTTCTTAATCTTAAACATGTTCCAGGTATTTTAAGAGCATGCTGCACTAAAATTTGAACTCTAGTGATGTCTGTGTAGCCTGAAACTTACCCTTAGTTTAATACGCGTTTTACGACTGATAAACTGGTAAACTGTGATGAGTTAAAAATCTAGGTGAAAGACTTCAATTTAATGCTGATCCTCACCTAATAATTTAGTCAGAACAAAGCTTATGCATAAGTGCAGTAAGGTTATAGAGGCTTCAGATTTATTTTCCCATTCCAGAGTGTGATACTGTGTGGCTTCACATTGCATTCATTTTGAACGCTTTTCAGACTTGTTCCCTCTTTCTCCCAAAACACTGACGTGATTCTTCTGGTTTTGATGTTGGTTTCTGCATGGAGTAGAAAAATAGAAGAGTGTGTAGATTGTATTCTGATCTGTTATTTATTTAGTGTCCGGGATGTGGGTTCATGTGACTTTTGGAACGTGACAGTGCTGGCTTAGGAAGTTGCCACTCCACAGCTGTCCCCCTTAGTTCTGTATGAAGAAGCTGTATAGACAATTGGGGCCCTGGTAAACTAATCAGAGTCAAAAATTTACCTTTCAAAACCAAATGAAACCACACAGGTCACTGATTCAGTTTAATGTGTAGCCCCAAAACATTTGGCACAAAACAAGTGAAAGGGTGATGTGGAAACATCATATGTTACATTTTGTTGAATACTTTGTATTCAATTGATGCATTAAATACGTTAAATTGATATCCTCATAGAACAAAAAGGTACCTGGAGCTGTACCCTAAAACATTTTAAGGTTGCACTGCTGCACAAAAGAAAAGTTGAAGGTGATAGAGACAGCAAGAAAAACATTAAAAGAGAAAGAATTACAGCTTGGGTATCCAACACCAATTTTTTGTTCTCTAAATGGAAGCTGCTGCAAATCTCTAGCTTGCTGCATCTAGAAAATAACAATTTAATGCAGCACAGCCTGAAAATCTTAATACTATAGAATTTATTTGGAAAACTGCATTTTGAAATCTTTCCAAATTTTTGATATTTTAGGCATCTGCACATGCGTGTGTGCTTGCTCTCATGCTGATATTTTCTATTTGTTTTCAAAGAATGACAAACTCTTGAGAGTTGGTTTCTTTCCTGTCTCCGTGTTTGTTCTAGTATTGCAAATATTATTTTAGGAGATAATGGGAATTGATATAGCTGTCTGATACAGCTTATGCCATGTTTCTATTAGTTGATTGCAGAAGGAGTAAACCTCTCTGTGTGGCTGGACGGAGAGCGATCGTAATCAACAATTTTTTTTTTTTCTTGAATGATTTTAATGTATAACATTCAATAATACCTCTTAATACATAGTCTGTGGTCCACATGTTTTTCCAAGTCCTCTTAGGGACTGTAGCTGTTCACTGTGCCCATCGACTATTTTGACATACTTGGTAAAACAGAGGGGAAAAAAAAATTCAGACATAGTAAAGAAAAATTTCTTTTGTGCTACATTTCTTTTTAAACTCTTTTTAGTATCTTCTAATCCTGACATTTTATTTCCTTTTTCAGACTGAAGACTTGAGTCCTCTTCTCCTTCAGTAGCTATACAAGTGAATGGCAAAGTCTAGTTGATAGCCAAATAGTAGCATTTAGGCAGTACGTCTTGGCCTGTGGTAAGTATCTGGAAGGATTGGGCTTATCCTACATTCCTATGAGTTTCCTCTTTGATTGCGGACATCCAGTCCTCTCCTACTCAGTAAATTCTACTGTTGTGGAAGAAGGACCAGTCATCAGACCCCTTTATGGAAGAGGAAGAGTCTTTGCTATGCTGAACACTTGTAGAGATGATACATTGCTCACGCATTCATCCTTCCTTTCAGTAAGGAGAAAGCAAAGCACTCTTCTTCCTCTTCACTCCCAGAAATGGGCTTCAGGAGATAAAGGTTAATCTTACTGGGTTTACCCTCTCCTGAAGAAGTGCACAGTGGAGGTCCTCCCTGAAGCAGTAGGTCGGCAGGTTTGTAAGTTGTGCCTGTAGGAGAAGGCCAGCAAGTGGTGCCTTTTCTTCTCTCTCTTTTCCATGCTTAGTGACAGTGATGTTTGTGGTAAAAGGCAGATGTGTGGTGTTGCAGGCTGAGCCCAAGTCCATCCAGATACTTACTAAACACAGAACTTCCTTTTCTTTTTTGTTCAGTCCAAACATTATCTTCTTTCCCAATGGTGCGTATGGTTTATAGGTCTTGGTTGAGTTCTCCAGCAGGTATAATTTATCTTTCATGGATCTGTAGCTGTTAATGTTTATGCAAATTTACATGGCTTTGGATAGGTGGTGGGGGTTTTTCCTCCACTTCCTGTAAAGAGGAAAGAAGTGGTATTGAGCATTTGCAGAAGATGATACGAACCATTATTTGGCTGTCTCTTTAAAAATGACTTGTTTTCCCAGTTGGTCAGGGTATGGTGTTATAAAGCTATTTTAGTATAAGTTTATTTTTAATGCAAATGTTCTCGTGCTGTACGCAGTGCTATAAACATTCAGGATAAGTGCTTCATTTTTAAGTTGCATTAATTTGCTCTGCCAGGTAATTACTGACTTGAATCTGACTGTTCATCTTATTAGAATCCTAAGTCTGTGAATCTATGCAGGTAAAAGGATAGGTATAAAAAATTGGTGAAGATATGTAGCTTATTTCCTTTTGAGGTGCTCCCATATTACTATAATTACTGCATTTTTTTTGTCCTCCCTCTGTGGAGAGACGTTACTACTGTTCTGTCGGGGTATAATCTATGGGTAAGCCAAGTGTGCTCTTCAGATGTCTTTGTCTTTGCTTGTTGTCTGTTGCCCTAAGTCTTTATGCTTAGACTGGGCTACTAGCCTTTTAAAAACTTGGATCATTATATAGTGTTTAATTTAATGATATTTAGCAAAGTGTAGCACTTACCAGTCTTAAAACAAAACAGAATAAAAACTTTAAGGTAGTAATGCAGACATTTAAAACTTGATGACTTACAGACCAGTCAAGCTTGTTTTAGAGTCATAGTGAAGTTGGACTGTTCCCTTTAACACAATTTAAACTTACTTGCTAGTCTATTTGAGGATTAATAAAATTAATGTAAAAGCAGCTATGGAATAGCATTGGTAATGTGGGGCATGGAGTCATGCCTTTCTTTTAATCAGGTAATGGAAGGAAGAAATACAGCGCTAACAAACTCCAAAAGGAATGTTTCAATTACAGATTTTAATGCATCAGCAAAATTTTGGAATTTTCAAGTAACTATGTTAGGCTAACAGCTATTCTTATTTGATAATTCTTTGTTAGGCAACTAAGGTAATTTGCGTGTATTTTACCGTTAAGTTATTTTCATTGTACTCTGGCTGAATGGCATAGTTCATTTAACCATAGTGTGCATATCCTGATTGCAGCACATCTTCATTGCCACCTCTTGACTGGCCTTTACCAAGTCATTATGGGCAGTGTGAACTGAAAATAGAAGTCCAGCCTAAAACTCATCATAGAGCTCACTATGAAACAGAAGGAAGCAGAGGAGCAGTAAAAGCATCTACTGGAGGACACCCTGTAGTGAAGGTAGGAAGTCTGGTTTTCTTGAATAGAAGATAATTTTTTTTACTATTAACTATGCTCACTGATATTTACAGTACTATAAATTGTTACATTTGATGAAGCTTGCATTCCTCCATCTGTAAGATTTCTCCGTTAAAAACATCTTGTTCAGTACAACAGGTTAGTTTTGTGTATTTAAGAATTTACCGTTTGCTACAATTACAGAATATGTAACGATGCATTTCATGCTTGTTAAGGGATTCACTGTGCAACAGTGTATTAGTTATTTATTCAAAATAAGCTTTAGACAGGAAGGACCCCGTGGGGGGGCAATAGGTTAGTTGTAGGTATAATTGAATATGATGTAGCTCCATTTGAATGAAGTATCATCTTTCTTTTGGTATTAAAGTAAACTGCTGAACACTATAGAGGCCTCAGTTGAAAGTTTGTTAGCTCCTTTTTATTAGGTTATTTCTGCGAAATGCTATCCATAGACTTTGTTAAACTTCACTAAAATATTTGGAGTAAATTAAACTTGACTTTCCTTTCTTCAGCAAGAACCAAAGGTCGTTACTGACAGTTTATTTGTGGCTGTCTCCTTAAAAAGTAAGGCATCAACTAGTTTTTTAGATGATGTGGGCTGGTAATTTGTAAGGGAAAGTAAGACTCATTCCTCGCTCTCTCTTTTTGTCATCGCTTCTGTTGTGTTAAGGAAATCAAGCAAGCTCTATTTTGTCTCTGAACATTCAGATCAGTTTCAGGACTGAAGAAAATGCAACAGTGCAGTCAACGGTCCTCATCTAACAGCAGGTGGTAGTACTACCTGTTTTGGTTCCTGGTAACTGCCATTAACACCTGCTCTTGCTGTGTTCTTTTGTTAAGGCAAATGCATCTAAAGTGTATATTTAAATACTTTGCAAACACTATTCAATTGTTGTTGCACTCAGAGTTACATATAGTGTCCTAGAAAATTAGGCTTGGCTTTCAGTTGATAGCTTTGTCATGACATGCTTTTTGAAGGAAAAGAAGCTTAGATTTGGTAAATAGCTATTGAGAGTAAAATTTCATGTACACAAGCTGCGATGTGCTCCCCCATGACTGTCAGAGTTCAGGCATGCACACCAATATCTTTATGCAGGGAAGACTTCTGGATTAGTTTACTAGTAGTGATGTGTTATTTAATATGTAAAGTGCCACCAGCTGAAATGGGAACCTCTCCTCTTACTCGCTGGACACAGGGAAGGTTGTGCTGGGGAACTACGGGACTTTTTAAGATGCCTTGATTTATCATTTTGCCACGTCCTTGGGTGAAAGCAGTGTCTTCTTATTTAGTCACCTTAATCTTTCATAATCTCAAGCCGGGTTAAGATAAAATTCAGCTGCTGCTGTACATTCATAAGTCAAAAGACACAACAGTTTAAAACCTTTATAAGACAAATGGGAAAAATGATAATTAATCTACTTACATTAGGGTTACAACAGAAGGGTCTCTTTCTTTTCCCCCTAATCCAGAATACTTCCTGTTCTCTACCAGCAGAATGGCTGTCAGTTTTAGTCCTAAGGCTTAATTTGTGCCTCAGATTGCCTTTATTAGGGCCTACTGGGAACCTCTGTCAGAGGACTCATCTGTGAGAGAGGTAAGGGAATACTTTCAGGAAGTCTATTAAAGATTATCTTGATTATACAGATTCTTATACTGTTCAAGGATCAGCCTTTCTATCATGCCTTGTAATTATATCAGTTTTAGAACAGGTGTACCATTATACCTGTACACATAAAGATGTACCAACAGAATGTCTTTGCCTATCCTTGCCTTGTCTCCTCCCTCCAAGCTCTTCATCTGATCCATTTCTTCTCCCAACCTACCAACCCCCAGTCACATTCTTTGAGCTATTTGTCAAACTTTCTTCTCTTTTCCTTTTATGACTCTTTGTTTCTTTCCTTTCTCTCCCCCCAAAGAAGTGCTGGTTCTCTGTATCCCACCTTGAATGTCTTTCCTCCTTCTTCCATTTCTGTTCTTAACCTGAGCTCTTTATCCAGCCTTTGTTTTCTTTCTAGAGTTCCTTAATGTTCTCTTCATAGTCAAAATACTGAGGCCTGACCAGCTCTAGCTTCCTCCTGCTGTCAGATCTACTAGATTCCTTGGGACAAGACCTAAATGCTTGTCAGGGAAATCTGTGCTGCAAACTAGAGAAAAGTGAGGATGCCTGAGCTAGGTTGGAATGTGAAAGTAGTCAGCAGAGCAGATTTCTTCATGTGGAATATTGTGTTGCTTTCGCCAGGTAGAGGACAAGTAGACACAACTTGCATGTGCCTAGGTGCTGGCATTGGAATTTAACACATCTTTAATGAGGTAGAATATTGAGAGGTTTTAGCTGACAAAAATAAGTCTCTGCTGAACGTTTGTTAACTACGTTTGTTTATGGCTTTTTTTTTTTTTTTTTATTTTTGCCCCAGGCTCTTGTGTATTGCATTAAGGGAAGTTGTTCTGTTGATTTGGCAAATAAACGTAGGGTTGTCTTTGCTTACAGAACTAGGTGCTTCTGTAAGGGTAGTACTAGCTGCAGATTAGAAACAACAGATCTCTAAGCTATGTGAATTTTACTGAGGGTTTTAAAAAATGTGTATTTAGATTAGAATTGTGAAATATCTTGCTATGACAAAAATTGTTCTGTTTGTAAAATGAGGATAGAATTTATGTCTGTTTTTCCCAGTCTCATGCTTAAAACTCATGGAGTGTACTGTGCCTCGCTAAATTAAAATGAATAGAAATGCAAATCAATATCCTATTTTGCAATTTGGTCTCTTCCAGCTGGATTAGAATTTAATTGTTGTGCTTGATGGGGGAGAGGAAGTTGTTATGAAACAAAACATTGATTTGTATTAACTTTTTACTTGCTGCAAGGGGAAATAGTATGCTGTAGGTCAAATTTGATGAAAAGTAAATACTAAATAGCTGTAAGCAGATGTAAAGCACTTTTAAGTACAAAGGTGCACTCTTTTCCAGCACTTCCTGAGGCTTATTACACAAATCCAGTTGAGGAAATGCATTATTGTTTGTAACTGTCCTAAGCTTTTCTTTTTGGTATTCTTAGCTTTATGCCAGCCACTTCCATGCATGTGATCATTGCAATAAAATACGCTTAGCATTTTCTTGTGTAAAAATAACTGTTTGGCGACTGGTGTCAGAGAAAAAAGAAAGGAGGTGGGTGCCTGAAAGCCTGTGTGCTTTTTCCTACTGTAAAATATGTGTTGCTCTTGAATAGTATTGTATAGAAAGTTAGAATATTTAGAATAGATTTCTGAACTATGAAACCTCTGTAGTTCTGTAGATGCAGTTGATGTGGTCTTTAAAGATTGAAAGATAGTATATAGCTTCAAGCCATTAATCTATTAGTGCAAATCATTAATCTATTACTAATACTGTACTGTACCTGTTGCTAGGAAACTAAGCTTCTGACAAATTTGGCATGATCTGTTGTGAGTATGTTTAATCAGCTTATTTCCAAATGTGAGGAAATGAAATGAGTTGATCATCATGCTTTGTTTTATAAGTCTACAGACTTTAAGGAAGCAAATTCTTTAATGAAATTCTCTTGTTTTCAGCTGATTTAATGGCAAAATGTTTTAAAAAGCAGGTATCTACCTTTTTCATCTCTGCTTGCTTTGGAGTATGTTCCAGCTAATCTGCATCATCTAAAATGATTTATTTTACCTTGGTAGAAAATCTACAACACTGATAGTTTTCATGGTGAAGGAATAAATAACTTGACAGCATGGCTAGTACGGAGGGGGTGGCACTTTGAATTTTTGTCATCGAACCCTATGGATATTTTGTATTTAGTAGTCAGGAGACATAGAAAGCCTCTGAGATTTGTCTACTGTTACCTTTCTATTTCAGTAAGTTAGAGTACTTATTTTACCATCTGAGAAGCCTTCTTAAACAAATGGCTGCAACATTGCATCTGACTCTAAATGAATAATTGCAATTACTTGAATTTCCTCCCTTTCCCCCAGGTGAAATCATACATCATAAGTAAAGTAATGTTTACATTTATAATTTATTAGAATGAGATTTTACTGTTATCTAAAGTGGTTAAGGATTTTTCGTGAGACTTTCATTGGCTAATGTTTACGACCAAAAACATAAAAGCATTTTAGAGTAGGCAGGCACACCATGCTGTAAGGTTCTCTCAGGAAAAGTTTATGTTTTACTCTCATATTTTAGCTTTATGATGTAGGAAGGTGGGCTTTTCCTTAAGGAGCATTGTTTTGTATACTATGATGTTCCTGCTTGCTGTTCATGTAGACCTTGGTAACTTTCTGAATTTTCTTCAATATTCTAAATTTAATGATATCTTTCAGTAGTTAATTCTACAAGCTAATTGTGTTGTGCACAACACATATTTCCTTTTTATCTTTTGCTCTTTTACTGTTGTCAGGAAATTGATCTATATGCTGATATTCTTGGTAACCGTCCCTCAGTGCATCTAATAGCAAGGTTAAACTAACAGCTGCTTGATAGCACTATTCTGTATGTACGTTCGTCTCGTCCTGTGGCCATCTACCACAAAGGAGATCAGTTCTAGATGTGAACTACAATAAGGGTAATTTATTTTAGAACTGCTGGTGTGTCTACAATAGACACTGTGTAGATTCTACTTGTGGAAGACATGTCCCATGCATGTAAGACATGTTTTGGACAGTGGTAGGTATTAAGAATTTGCCTGTTCCCTAAGTGTCTTTTTTGTCATACTATCGAGAATTTAAGGATAGAATCATTCATCAGTTCCTTTGCCATATGCAAAATTGTTACAGTAGTTGATTTTAGATTAACAGAGAAGAGGAAGCATCATGGAATCAATATGGACAACTCATGAGCACTACACATGAGGAAAAGTATACAGTTAAAAAATAAAAATAAAGCAAAGCTATTTTCTTTGAATGGTTTTGCACTTCTAGTCACTGACAAGCAAGCAGTAACCTCCTGTGTGGCAAGGTTTTTTGGAGGCCTGTGAAAGAGG